TGATGTAGACTTTAAACTTCTTTTTTAGCCTTAAGATTAATATTTCTTTAGTAAGTATTAGTAATACACGAAATTTTTATTTTAAAAAAGTTGACAAATTTGTAAAGATTTATAAAAGTTACAAATCTATTCTCACTTTTTTCAAAAGTAGTATCTATGATGTTTTCTTCACATTCAAATTAACTCAATAAATCCACAAGTTAAATTAGAGGAGAATAATCTCCAACTTCTAATATCAAATGAAAATTTCTACAAAAAAGAAAAATTCGCTCTTTTTTAGAAAAAAATCAGTGTTAGAAAATCAAATAATTTGTTTAAAAGTGGATAATACACAACCTTCAAAATACAACAATAGAAGTGAGATAATCTACTCACTTCTAAAACAAGACAAGAATAATGAGTTAGGACTCTTGTCAAATTGTCAAGGATATGAATCTCAAAGAAAGAAACCTCAATATACTCATTTGTCATTGAAAAAGATTAAAAACTCATCCAAAGATAATATGGTACTAAACTAAAATAGCTATAGCTAAAGACAAGAAAACTAGAAAGTCTTAAAATAAGACTAAAGATTAGAAAGGTGTTGATAAGAGTGAAGAAGGCTTCACTCTTGCTTCTATATATATTCTTAACTAGGAGCTATGTGGCCATGTCTTATAAGACCTCCAAAACATGTTGATTTTATAAGACCCATATCTCAACTTACAATGTAAGTTTTCTATATGTGTACCACATAGTTAGCTTGTTTTTATAAGCTATCAATACATAGTTAATTTGTTGACCAAGTTTCTAACTTATCAATCAACTATAAACACATGTAAAGTCATAATAGCATCTATGAAGCTTTTAAGAAGTTTTTTTAAAAAATATTACAAAATAAATCTATTTTTATCTATTTTTATTTAATTATATAATTAAATATTAAAAAATATATATATAGATATATATATATATATATATATATATATATCTTGTCATTATTTTTATACTTCATTCCTTGTTCTTAAGTATTCCTTGCAACCAATCAATATAAATTAATATACTTTGTCTCCAATTCTTTTAAGTCCTCTACGGTATAATGTACTAATCAATTCTATTTTTATACTTCAATCAAAGATGTTATGACTCCTTAGTCGATATTACAAATGAGATCCACATCCCTTTTAAGTTTATTAAGAATTTTATATGAGCTTCCAATAGAAATCAAGTGTAAATGACTATTATAATAGTAGTTGATTAGACAAAGCTTGAACACCCTTAGAAAATACTTCTCTCTACCTTGTATTTCAAAAAATAAGATATTAGCTTGACAGTACTAAGAACATTGGTCTCCTTCAAAAATGATTACTAGCTCTTAGGACTTATTGTGATGTTACTCATATTAGCACAAGACTAATCATCTTTTTCAGTTGCCTGCCACTAAAAATTGGCAACAAGATTTATTATCCTTGGCAACTAACTTATTATATAATACTTAATGACCATCTATGAGACTTCTTTAGAAGATCACATTCTAGGAAACTAATCTAAGTCTTCACTGATCTAAGTAATATACCAAAAGTATCCAAATAATCCTAGTAGTATCTATGTAATTTTATGCAAACATAAGTACTAGGATTGAAAAATGCAACAAGTAGTCAATACATAGAATGAGAGATAAGAAGGATGAGAAGGGAGGAGAATTGAAACATGAAACTAAGAACAATGATGGAAGAAGTTTGAAACAAGGGAGAGAAATAGATACAAGGGACTCAGAACAAAAATTATAGGAGTTTGGAATAAGAGAGGAAAATTGAGACATATTACTAGGAACAACAATAAAGAGGAGGATGGATAGAATCAATCATGAAATAGATATTGCATTAAACAACAATGAGGTATGGCTTTAACAACTATATATATATATATATATATATAGTATTAATGAAGTGATATGTAACACTTTTTTTTAATAAAATACATCGAAATTTGCATGCAATTTTTACAATCAATTACAATTACAAATAATTATAGTATGACATAGCTTTAGCACACAATGAATTATTGCCAACTCACTCAAATACCTTTCAAATTTTGTTACCCATCTTGATTTTCAATCAAAGGTGTTATTTTCAACTACATACTATTCAAAACTTTCAAAATCCATGCACTTTTTTTTTTTTTTTTTTTCCCTTCTAAAAGCTCAAATTTTTTCTACAAACAAAATAATAGATTACTAAAAATAATATTTGTTAAAGAAATTTTAGAAATTCCTTTTCATTTTTTTTTTTAATTTCCAAGCCCATGTAAATTACCACACCTTTTGATGCCATCTTAGTAAAATCACATAAGATTTTTTTCTATTTCTACAACAAATTTACATTTTCCATCAGAATAATTATAATGATGGATTGTGCACATATATGACTAAAAATAATCAATAATAATATAGCTTCTAAGATGATCGATCATACCTTTTGAACACACCAGCACTGCAGTCTGAAATTGAAGTTTAAAATGTGACTCTCTTGCCATTTAGTTTATTAATTTATTTATTTTCTTTGGGTTGTTCTTTCTTTATTTCTTTCATTATCTTTTCCTTAGTAATCTGTAACCAGAATACAATTCTCATCTCTAGATTATTTTACAGTTCTCTTAGTGTATATATATATATTTTTTTTTCTGAAGGAATCCTTATTTTAGATAATGAAGAAAATTATAAGAAAAATAATTGAATTAGCCTTTAAGGATTTATCAATATATCTATTTAAAATGGTATCTGAAGATTTAAAATTTTAGAAGTTATTTTTTTGATTTTTTAAAATTCTGGGCGAACAAGATGAAGCAAAAAATAACTCTGTTGTGACACATTGTTTTAAAACAATATTAAAAGTTAAGGTCATTGATTAGATCTTTGTATCAATAAACTGAATGCTAATGAATAAAAACAAAGAAGTGAAAGCTCAGAAGTTTGTGATTATTGAATATGAAAAACCCAATCAATCATTGTTACAAAATCAACACAAATACTCTAAAGCAGTCCCTTATATATATATATATATATATATATGAAGCCCTAGCTTTGTAATGAAGAAAAATAAATAAAGATTGATCAAGATTTGAGCAATAGAGAGGATGAGTGTTGCTATTGTTTTTGCAATATTGATTGAAGTATGTGCAAAAAAAGATACTCACACATACATACCCACAAAAGCATGTAATCATATTGACAAAAATTGTATGTGCTTTAGATAGGCAATAATCCTTGTGAACTTGAATTTTTAGTTATTTTTATTTCCAAAGTCTAATGTTGGTTAAAACTACAAAATATCTTCTACTTTGAAACTAAACACAATTCTTACCATTCAAAGAAACTAATTAGTGATGTGTTTAAGATTACACTACTAATCACATAGGTATAATTTTTGACCTTTACTGAGTGAAGTAAGAGTACCGAATGTATATTTGTTTTTACAATATTGACCTTAAGGTTTAAAACAGCTGTCTTTGCATGATGTTTTCTAGGCTCTATGATTTTGAACTGTAGTACTCTAGATTCTTTTATAATTGAGTGTTGTTCCCAGCTTATTTTTATTTATTTTTAAATATTAGAAAATATACAGACTATCATTTTAGAGGAGAAAATTTTAACAACCTTGTGGGGAATGATATGGAGCCATTCACCATAATTGGTGTGTTCTAGTTAAGAACATGTATGTTTTGCTGGACTCATCATACTGATATATAATTATTAACTCTGCAGTAGGTTCTAAAACCAATGATGTAGTGTATATTAATTAATTGTATTCATACATAAGTATTTCCAAACATGCATAACATATAACAATGAACAAGATTATTATTATTATTATTATTACCATTTTAACATTTAAATGGAGTATGAAAAATGATTCAAGTTGATTGTATTAAAGGTATTGATGCAAAAGTAGCATAGAAGGAAATAAAGTGTAAACATATTGTGTACCCTAAACCTCTGTAAACAAACATAATATTTGCAATCTACTAACCAATCAATTTATATATATATAATCATGAAGAAGCTTTTACAAAAACCCTGCAAACAGTTTCATTATCAATAATAGAGGTCACATTTAACAATTGTAGTACTCATGCATGTTATCTTTGTTAATAAATCATGTTAGAAATTGACATTTTCAAACCTTTTTCAAAATTATCTTCTTGAATTTTGGATGTGCTCGAAAATATGTGATATATAATTTATGTTCTAAAAACTCTATGTCATAATTTTTATTTTATTTTGAAGACTTAGTAAATATTAGTTTGAAAAATCAAACCATACTTCCTTTCTTTCTTTTTTAATATCAAAGTTTTCCTTTTCTTTTCCAAAATTACCTACTCAAAATGTGACCTCTACTTTGAAGCTATCATTTAGCATTAAATCTTAAGCAATGTAAATAAATTTGAACAAGTTACAAGCCCTTCATATACAATCCGTGATTAAATTTTATAGTTTAATATTTTTTTGTAAATAACATAATAATTTTTTAAAAACATAAATAGGGAATTGCTATGCTGACATATCTTGTGCCACACACCTCCACACACACAATTTCTTAGTAACACTGTAAAGTTTTAGGATAAATTTACACTAAAAGAACTTCTAAATGAAATTAATAATCTTTTAAAATGTATAAAGAAATTACTTTAAATACGTTTAAAAATGTAATCAACTAAAATCAAAGTTTTATTTTTGTTACCCTAATTAATTTTTTAATAACATTAATAAGAGTTTTATTGTGCATGTGCAGAGATGTGTGGCACTGGGTTGTCCACAGAATAAAATGGGGGTGTCCACCTAACAATTCTCCATAAATATATATATATATATATATATATAAGTTTGTGTGTGTATACATATATAAAGAAAAACATTCATCAATATGTTTATAGAAAAAAAAAAAAATGTGATTGAGACATTTACATAGTATAAAATATTTAAATGATAATATCTTGAGTTGTTTGATTGATTTGTGTTTATCTCTATTTTATTTTCAACTTTTGGTTTAAGATTTGTCTGCTGTTACGACTTCTGATATTTTATGTATTATTTCACCTTGTTTCTACTTTTATTCAGTCTGTGTAAAATTTCAAGTTTAAAACGATTATAGTATTTAAGGAAAACCCACATTCTTTATCTTCTCTAAATTTACCCTAACTTTTCAAAATAACATTGTTGATTCTTTAAGTAAGTAATTTTTTGAAATTTTCCAACTAGATGCATACATTACATAATCTCTAAAAGTTTGTTTAGAGAATTGTGAACATAACATTAGTATGTTATTCATCTGAATGATCATGTATTAATGAAGTGGTGTACCATTATTATTTCTATTTCTATTTTAAGTACCATTGTTATTATTACCAAGATTTGTTTTGACTGATAATCTTTGATGGCTGCTTTGATTGCATCTTCAGCAAGCATACTGCAGTGTAGCTTCACTGGTGGAAGAACGAGATACTTTGCTATGTCACTGACAAATAAAAAATAAAATAAAAACAAATAAATGATAGTAATTGTTACTTTTGATTAATATAAAAATAAATAAAAACCTTGTTTCTTTATGTAATCTTATACATATAATATTCAAATGTTATAATGTAGACCCCCCCCCTTCTTTTTTTCCTTTTTCTTTTCCTATAAGAAGAAACATGAGAGTGATGTTATCTGTTTGATGTGTCTAAAGTCATGTTCTTCTCAAATGAATATTTAAGTTATTCTGTGCAGGATAACTCTCATGAGTCACACACGAAATGTTTATCAAGTTCCTTTTGTCTTTCAATATATTTGTTGCTTTATTTCTATAGAGTATGACATTCACAATGCCCCATAGGACCACTTCACAATTTTTACTGTAAATGTATTCAAATACATACAAAATATGCAATAATATGTGTACTTATTGCTTGTTGTTGTTTGTTTTTTCCATCATACATCATTTGGAAAACAATGCATGATTGCATATTGTAAATTCTTACTTTGGCAATTGTATAATTACATTCATGTTACAACATGTCTATGTATTCAAGAAATATTATCAACAAATAATTATCCCAAATGGCTTAATACCCAAAATTGAAGGAAGAATTGAAAACCATTAGATATGATCTCTCTACATCCTACCTTTGGATATGAAAAATAAACCCAACATACACCATTCACCATAATTGATCTTGGTAAACCTATTTCCAAAAGAAAAAAAGGAAAAAGAAAAAGAAAACCGTATAATAGATATTATAAAAAAACAACCTGAAATTCCCAACGTATTTTTATTTTTATTTTGAGATAAAGACAAAGCTCAACACGAAAATGGAAAGAAGTAATGAACTAATCACAATAAAGGCACACATACATGCAACTCACTCTCATAACCCGTAACTTACGATCGCGGTACAGAGAGAAAACCTTAAAAAGCGAGAAACCCTAATCGTAGGACCGTTGGTAGTTCTGCATATAAATTTTGAAAATGTCGCTATGCCGTGGTGGGTTCCGATGCTGCGAGGCTATCCTTTCGCTCGGCATCGACCTTCCGTTAATTTTGCTTTTTTTTTTTTTTTTTTTTTTTTTTTTCACTCCATCGCTGTGCCTTTTTGCGGAATTCACTGCTATCGCTGTCGAATCTAGAATCTACAGCTGTGGCGATGACCTTGCATGTCACTGCCACACACGAATTGGGCAGCGTAGGCAAATGGACACTAGGATTTGATTATATATATTTATATATATATATATGTAATTTGTTCTTCTACCTAGAAACCCTATCGCGCTCGGAATTCTTAGTTTTAGTGCAGTAGGTCAGAAGGAGACGGTGGGATGCTTTCACTGTTAATAGTGCGAAGTAATGGGTTGTCCTGAGCGTACCTGTTCTTGATGGAGAGTACCTCCTTCTCTGGCCTCCCTTTGATCCATTCGGTGGCTGCAAAGAACGCCCAACCCCTTGAAGAGCGATGAGTGGTGGTATTGATGGTGATGATGATGCGGGAAGTCACGGAACGAGCGCATGTACAATCGCAGCAGAGAATCTCAGTTTCTTCACACATAGTGGGTGGAACAGTGTGTGGAAGCTGTCGAAACATACCCACAGCACGCAGATGGAATGCGTCTGAAGGGGAATGGCCAGAAATATCATACCTACTGAAGACGACGCTATAGCCGATCCGCAGCCAAAAGTCTTGAAACAGGAGTCAATTATCTTGCCAGTCTTCTCATCCACGCGGATTTGCAGCTTCATCACATCGCCGCACGCTGGAGCACCTACAAGCCCCGTTCCAACGTCAGGATTGTCCTTGTCGAAGCTGCCGACGTTGCGCGGATTGTTATAATGCTCAACCACTTTCTCATGATACGTTTTCGGTGACACCAGCTTCCCACAGCCTCGCTGCAACTGTCGCACCACCGCGATCGGCAAGAAGCCGCACGAGAAACGGCTCAACATGCCACGATGTCTGAGTCTCCTACCACCCAAGGTCGGAAATCTGAAGCGGGGTAAGGATCCCAACACCAAAAATTCCTGTGATTTGTGGAACAAGCGTATCCTGCACACCCTGGAGAAGCAATCTGGTCTATGAAGGTTGCCCTTCTGACTGCAGATCCGGAATTCGGCAATCGATTATCGAGGTACATGCTCCTCAAAACCAACCACACACCATCACCTCGACTTCGACATGCACAGTTTCGATGCTTGTGCTTATGCTCGAAGGCGAGAGATTTTGTTCTAACAGTGAGATTGCTTGCCCTAGTCGGTGCTCGTATGTCTTTTTCGTGCACGTCTGCATTCGGCATGGTCTTCGAGATCCTCCGTTCCTTCTTACAAAGGCCACCTGTTTGCGTCGGGTCGCACCGCTTCATGATCTCCATTGCTGGTGAATCAATCAACATGCTGCCAATTCTCCCTTATGCCAGACAAACAGGCATGCTTCTCTCAAACAGGCATGGATTCATGAATGCTTGATGCTTTGAGATCAAAGCATTGCTGCTCTTTGTCAAAGCCATTGTTATAAGATGCCTGCCAACAATATTCTTGCGAAGTCGGTAGGAAAATACTATTACAACGACCACTACTACTACTATTACTACTGATAAGAATAACATGAACAGCAGTGGAGAAATGAAGATCGTGGTTATTGAGTCATGGCGCATCATTATATGGGTTCCATTTTCAATGTCACTACCTCTGCAGATTTATATGAAGGCATGTTAAAAATGAGTCTCTTTCTAACATTCAATATAAATAAATAAATTTTCATTGCTACTTGATTATTTCTTATGCTGGAAATGTGGGGTATCATAGAAACTAGACTAGGAGTTGGATACTAGCTAAAATACTGAAGAAGAGTTTGAGAACAGATGTGTATTAATTTGTTTGAAGAAAGCAACATGAAAATATTCTGGGAATGTGACTTTTGCATTAGATGAGAATTTTTGGCAAAGCTCTAAAAAATTTGATACCAGGTTGTGATTAAACACTTATATTTTCTATGAAATAGCTTTGACTTCTGCATAGACATTGAACAAAATACATTAAAAGTGATTGAAGTTTGTTGGTATAATCACAAGACTTGAGAATATTATTGTTTACAGGGACTGAAAAAACGTTGTGGAAGGATCAATCTAGATGGTTTGAAAATTTATTTTAACCTCTGTGAAAATAACTTACTTTTCATCAGTTATTTTAACTGGTAATACATGGAGTTTGTTTAATGATGTCAATATAATTATGTAGTAATTAAAAGCAGTTCTAAAGTATGTTTGCTTACAACATTTAATACACTATTGTACTCGAAAATTATAAATACCATCCAAAAGTAAAAAAATATCATGATTTCATAATACATGTAAGATCACACATATAGTATTTTATAAGTCACATATGGGCAAGATTTAATTACTTCTGAATATAATTTATGAATACTGATTTTTCAATTCTTTTGAATTTATATGCTAAGTATGTGTGTTTATTAAAAGTAAATATATTATTTTAAACAAAGACAGATTTTGGATACACTATTTGAAAATCTAATGTTTTGACCATTTGAAACTTGTATTCTTATTTTTTACGTGTTTGTATATTACAATAGGCATGATAATTTAAAACTTAAAAATAATTTATAGGCTTAACTAAATCAAATCATTTAATATTAATAATATTAAGTAAATGATTGTGATATCCAAAACAATTCCACTTTTTTATGGTTGAATAGAATTAATCATCTGCAATAATAAAAATGATTATCATTTTTTTTATATTTTTGTTAATATATAATATCAATAAATTTCATTTTTTTTTCTATATAAGAAAATAAATTATTTTAAATTATTTATAAAAAATACATGTAAAAAATAAAATTTATTTTAATTTTTAATTTTTCATTAAATTTTGATTTTTGGTAAATTTTGATCAAACTTATATGTTAAAAAAATATTATATAGTCTATCAAAAAAGGGATTATTACAAAATAAATACATTATTACAAAATAGTATTCAAATATTACTTATTTAAAAAATAGGTATAAAATTATGATAAACAAATTATACAATTAATTTATACAAAGAAATAAAAAATCAATCAAATATTAAATTTTAATAATTTTATTACTATCTTCTTTTTAAAATTTTATTTATAAAAAATTTGTAATAGTTATCAATAAATAGTTAAAAAATATTCATATAATTTATAATTATATTTTTGATTAATATTATATCTTTATGCTTAATAATATAAAATTTTAGATGTATTTTTGGACATGTATTTAAACAGTCTTATTAAAAAATTCACATATATATATATATATATATATATTAGAAAAGAATAAACAAGATCTAATTCATTTTATTTAATAATAAGACAAGAATGTATTAAAATAGTTATTGTTAAGTACAAAAGACTAAAAAGATTTTGATGTAATACTAAAGTGAGAAAATAATGTTATATGATTTTAATCTTCCCTACTTATATATTAATGAACAAGATGGTCTTGTAGAAGTTTCTTAATAGCTATATGATTTATGATTTGAATGTTTGAATTATATGATATTTCTATTGTGTCTTATAAATTTAGAAAATTTCTATAAAAAAATTTATAATTAGATTGCATAGTTTAAAATACCAAAAACTTCCAAAAGTAATGTAATATACTTTGCAAATGTATAAAATTGACATTTTTTTGGAAACAAAAAAAACTTATATCATATGATACCAATATAGTCTAAATAAAGTATGTAGCTATCTTCACATCAATCTCTATGGTGATTGGACCTACAAGCTAGTAATAAATGGTAAAAATATGAATTTGAAGTATTGTATTATTTTTGGAATTTTTACATTATTATGTTTTGAGATACACAAATCTTGTTGAATAATATTGGAAAAATTGCAATAAAGATGCAAAAATATATTTTATTTTTTATTTATTTTATATCAATGCTATGTTATTTGATTGGTATTTGATATATTATCTTTTTACCTTCAATAATGTTTGCACTCTGTTGGACATTGATTTTACCAACTTTTGTATGACTTTTATCTCAATGATGTTCTATTCTTCCTACAACTTCTTTCAAAGGTCATCCTTACTAGTTGAGAGGTCTTAATGGAGTCGAAGGTACCACTCGACTTTGTTCCACCAATGTTCAATAGGATTCTTATTGAAGAATTGTAGATTCCATGGCAATATTGTGATTGTATAAACTATGAGTATTTCACTATTGACCTACTAGTATGCTTTAGATCATTATTCTATTAGAACATCCACTGCTTCTTTTTCAAACTTTAGAACTTATATGCTTAAATTTGTCTTGTAAGATGTTCTCACAATATTTGTTATTCATATTTCTTTTGATTTTGGTGAGTTCTCCAATGCCCTCTTAACTCATGCAACTTCAAACCATGATTCTCCTTCCTCCATGCTTCATAATCTTATTAACAATACAATTGCTTAAGAATTCCGGTTGCTTCTTCTAACAATATTCTTGACCATCAAACTATATAATGTTGAATTTACTTACATATTAAAAAACAACTTTCATCTATTATTCCTCCATCTAATCTTTATTTTATTTTATTTTATTTTTAATCTATTTATGCTTTAATTATTTGTGACATTCTAAAAAAAGATACTTCTTCTTTCTAATTATATATTATATTCTTTGTTGCTTTAGCATCCTTCTTATTGTGTTACAAGAAGCTAAGATATTTATAACCTCTCAAAGAACCCTCTCACATTTTACTACAATACTTTGCTCTTTTATTTGCACCAATCATGCTAGGTAAAAATCATATCTTTCAATGAGAATGCATGATATTCTAACTTTTACTTAATCTCCAGCTTCTTCTTAGCTTTATAATATTTAATGATGCAATTAACTATTGATGGTATTGTTCCTAGTTTCCTTTCTTTATATGACAACTTTTTTATTCAGTGTGTAAGGTAATTACTTGTGTATAAATTTTTAGGGAAGTTTTGGGCATGATAGAAGTAAAAATTGAATTGAGGATCTTGTGAATGCAAAGCAAGAGTATTAACCAATAAATAATTAGGTACTAATATAATTAATTTTTTCCATAATTTAGATACTTTGAAGAATTCAAAAAGTAATGCAACACCTCAAATTTATGTTTCTACCATTTACTGCTAGCTTGTAGGTCTGATCACCATGGAAATTGACCTAAGGCTAATTACATATTTTATTTAGATTCTATTGGCACTATGTGACATAAGATTTTTCTATTGTCATGATATAACATGGCTAATAGGTAAAAAAAATATTATATTATAGAAGAACTTATTTCAAATCATTGTGAAAAATTATCTTAGAAATATAGATAATAGTCAAAATGTAGTAAAACTAAAAGTACAAATGCTGCCTTTTTACAAAATCGGCTTCTACTTACTTTGTAGGGCCATAAATAAAAAAAATAAGGTATATTAGAAAAATAAAGAATATATGAATATATACAAGGGAGTTAGAAGATGATTTTAGCAAAATATACCTCAAAAAAACAAGAATTGATACCTAGAACGGATTGGTTGCTAACTAAGATCAAAATTAAACCCCAAGGCATAAAATCACGCACCTATGGTGACTCTAGAATTTTTTTGAAAATTAAAGAATGGAATTTTAGATAAGACTTTATAGGATTTTTTTTAATGTTGATTTTGGAAAATTTTAGTTTTTAATGACTTTGTATGAGCTTTACAAAGTCAAGGTTGTTTTTGGTGAATCTAATTTTATAAACTAAAAAAAGAATTTATATTTGGAAGAATTTTATGAGTTTGGTAATAGATCTAAGGATAATAATTTGTAGGTTAGTGATTATAGTTGATGTTATTGCGTGCTATAAATTTAAGCATAATCAAAAAATTAGATCGAAGGTTATTGAAGTTCAAATAGATTGGGGTCTCAAAAATACGGTTTTCATGGTCAATGAGGGTTTATAAGATCTTTAGTAATCTTCAAGTTGAATTGAGGTAAAATTTATATATATAGATAGTAGAATTGATTTCCAACATATAAAGAAATTTAAAGAGGTATTTAATTATGGAATTAAGAGAATGTGGCTTGAAGAGATTGGCATCAAGATTTGAGAAGGAGGCTAGTCAATATCTAAGTGGATTTTAGGATTTATCATCTATATGATATGTTCGAACTTCTTCAATTTTTTTGTGCTTGTTGTTAACTTAATTGTTCCAAGGAATAAAAAGCTTTAGTCAAAATCAATGATTCGGTCATTTGTTATCAAACTTTTAATCTGCTATAAGATTGTTAATTTTTTTTTTAAGATAGAAAGTTTGATTAAGGATTGATTAAATTTAGTTTAGAGTCTAGGATATGGTTAGGATTTAAAAATTTATTTGTA